ACCAATTGGATCTAAACCGGGAGATCGCGCATTTTTCGACGGTTTTGAAGGTTAGAAAGATTGTTAATTTATTATGTATCAATTTGCTAAATATTATTTCATCAAACTAAATATTGATATATCTTTTTATCAGGCGTTCCGGAGCCTATTTTAAATCCCAAGAAAAAGATATGGGAAACATTACAACCAGGTTTATTAACTACAGCAAATAAAGAAGCTTCATGGGTTAACAGTGAAGATAAAAGTGTTCATCTTCTTAAAACTGAAAAAGGTCTCTGCACTGTACCAACTGTTGTTAGTGGAACAATAAAATAAGTAATTATGCAATAAAATTGTATGTATATATTGATTGTATTGACGTAGTCTTGTAACATTAAATTTTTTATAAAAAAGTAATAAACTTTGATGATCCATCATCATCCACAACATTTTTTTTACGCGTAAAATTTATTATTGTTATAAATAAAAATGGCCACGGAAGAATCTATATTAACATCTTTTCTTTTAAATAGTGAGCTTCAAGATAATATTACTTTTAAACAGTTTACTAATCTTTTTCCTACAAGTTATAGGTGATAACAATTAATCAATTTTATTTATTTTAAATTGTAATTTGCATCTCTAATTTAAATTTTTATTTTGTTTAGAACCAATCCAAATATTATAAAATTATTCAGAGAAATTCAAAGTAATCGTCATAATATTAGAGAAACAGTTAAGAACAATATTATTGAAGAATGTAAAAAGCATGAGAAATTGGATCTTCAAAAATTTAAAAAAAAGATTTTAAATCTTGATGATAATGTTTTTGATGGGGTAGGCAAAGAAAACAAAATTTTTTGAGGGAATGTCATATTATTATTATTATTGAAATGAAATATTTGTTATAATTATTAATAATAACAACGATTAGGTTGATGAAAAATGTTTAACAATTGATCAAGCAATAGAAAAATTGACAATGGCGAATAAGAATATGATCGAAGAAACAAAAAATATGAAAAAAGAAAATTTAAACTTATTAGAAAATATTCAAAAGTAAAGAAATCTTTATACATTTATTTAATTGTTAAAATCAATTTTATTATTATTATTATTAATCCAAATACATATTATTTAGAATAAATGAAGATGTAAATGATTTGAATAGTAGGTTAAAACCAATAAGTAAATATATGATCGAAGAAATTAAAAAAACAAGAAAAGAAAATTTAAAATTATTTGAAAATATTCAAAGGTATATTATTATAAATACAACAATTTAATTGTCATCATCATCATTATTATTACTACTACAGATGATAATAAGGTTTTTTTAATATTCAGAATAACTCAAAAATTATACGTGTCAAATAATCAGGATTAACCAAAAGGCCACATTACAATACCATCATTTAACAAGAATTAAAAACTGCAAATATAAGAAATATTATAAGAAATATAATAAATAATTACAATGAATAAATTTACTCATCAATTCTTTTTCTTTTACTACTGTTACTAAAATCTAAAAAATATCACTAGTAATAATTAATTTCCAATTAATTAATAATGAAATTTTTATTCACCTTTGTTAACATTTAAGAGAAAAGAGTTAAGTAAAGATTATTTAACGAACCATCATTTCTCCCATAACTTTTTAAGCTTTCGATGTAACAATCCCTTCATCTAATCTTTTATTTGTATGATATTCACCTGGATGTGATTTGTGTACTTGTTGCGAAACATTAATAATGAAATTTAATGAACTATCAATATTCGTATAACCAACTTTGCGATGCATGATGTCATGTGCTTTATCCATCAGGAAAGCTTTTTTGTATGTGTACATCAGATTTAAAGGTTGAAAAAGTAGATAATTTTTTAATATTTTATTGGATTAATTTGTTTGACTATTAATTACATAAACTACCATTTTGCGAAAGTATAAATTTATTTACTAAAAATGTCACACTTATAAAATAATCCAACAGGCATGACTGGCATGTGCCTAAAATGTTGAGGTGCAGGCACTGGCACAGGCAGAAGCACTGGTGCTAAATCAAAAAAAGGGCATTTGGCACTAGTGCCTGGCATGGTGCCAACAGTGCCCAGCATGGGCACTTGCAGAATCCTACTCCTGATCTTCCTGCCTATCAAGTCAATATTTCGATTTCAGATATTTTCTGGGATTCCTGAATTGTTGCGAGAGCTCCAAATGTTAGGGTTATAATATTATAGTTCTTGATATAGTTGTCAGCAATAATTTTGCCATTGATTTATATAATATTCAACAAGAGGTTTTAGCTTCACAAAGTGTGTAATTTACAATATATTTGTTAGTGATGTTAAAGTACTGTGTCTCCCCTGGTTAGGGTGTCCAGGATTATGCTTTCGCATAAATCGCTGCACACTTCTTAATTTTTGAGCATAATCGCATAATTGAGCATTTTTGGCATAATCACATAATCTACGTGTGTAATTTATTTTTATGTAAGTGATCGACGATGATTATATATATATATATATATACCAAGGCCATGCATAAATGAAACTTTTAATAATGCGTGTCTACCCAGATCTCTGGGATTCACAATAATAAATTATTCTTCCTGATTATCAATTATGGTTCCTTATGAATAATAAATCTGATGTTGATCACAGGTGTCAGATTTAATTAAAGTTTCCTATCACAAACATGCATTAAGGTGCTTTCACACGCCTCATATCTAAGGATTTTTCTTCCACAGGTGAGGCCACGTACATGCTGGAAGGCTTTGGACAAAACATTCCCTTATTTTCCCCTCAGACCAGGCTGGCTGTCACCATATGGGCATTGATCACTGATAGCTAGGGTATCCATGGATACAAACCCTACTGATAGCTTGGTGCTTGTGTGATGATTGATTTGTGTTATTGCCACACTAGCATAAAAGTTGGCACCTGCAACTGGTTGAAAATTCTGCAACTCGGGATATTGCAACCTGGATTGCTGCTTCGGATTTTCCCTGAATTCAGAGTTTTGAGTCCTGGGTTGCTGTAATTTTTATAAAAGAAAAGTATTAATATTTAACAATTAATTATTTAATTGTTTATTTTGTTGAAAAAAAATATACATTGATAGTGTACATTTTTGTGCTTAACATCCATGTGAACCTAAGCCTGGACAAAAGATCCCTTTCTATGAGTTTGGCTGGTATATCCCAAAGGTGTCCCCTGTCTTGTCAGTGGCATGCCTACTCACCAACAACCCTACCCCCATTTACTAAAATAACAAATTCAGTTGGTCAGACAAAAATTAAAGAAAAACAGAGCATTTAGGAAAATGATTATACAAAACAAACACCATTTTACGACTTTCCTCTTAACATCAGAGTCCGGATGCAATTTCAGGGCCACCAACCCTGCTCTGAATTGTAACCTCCTGGTGCTTGAAACAAGTTGCAGATTCTTGTTGCTTTGATGGATCTGGATGTTTATGCGCACCTAATATTACAATTCATCAACAGAGTTGCAACTTGGTCACAGAGCCATCCTTACCTCAGAGGTGGAATCGTTGCAGGCAAATTTTCGGCTAGCATGCCAGCAGCCTTCTCTGATCTGGAAAAATTAGTGAAAGTGTCATTGACAATTGATGCAGTCTCAGTAAACTCCAGGGCCTTACACCCCCCTGGAACTCTGCAGCATCATTGTATCATTGAGGGCCTTGCAGTCAGATTAGCCTTATGCACACAAGGAAGATGTGTGAATGACTGTAATGTGTTCAAGGTAGCATGTGTGCATGCTTCAGCATCCGATAATCAAACATTGCATATCGAAATGTTTCTTTTTTTATGGTGTGCTGCCTTGACATCTTGTGATTATATATTAATATTAGTATTATTATTATTACGATTATGCAAAGCAAAATATTAATATTATCAATGAAAATCTTGTAATTACCCAGCAAGATCTGCTCCGCGTTTTGATTCCAATTAAAATATTTATAAGCTAAAATAAAAGACACCTCATACATATCAATACAAGTAAAAAAAAGTAGTACCTCTGGTTAGTTATTAACATGTTTTCTTTAGGAGATCCAAACCAAACCAAACAATAATGTTCACGTTTTGTCACCTTGGACTCTGTCAAAAAATAAATTGTTTTTCCAAAAAAAAAAAAAATCAAATTTGTGTCTGTCCTACCAGAAAAAAAAAACCAATAGGATAAATAATTAATGTGTACACGTCGATCAAATAACAAACTTCTTTAAAAAAAAAATGTCATTTAATGACAAGAAAAATAAAAGAAGCAGAGATAAAGAAATAACTGAAAAAAGCAAATAAGTGTTTTAAGGATGGTGGTGGTTATTGCCCACCACTCATCATCACTCTAGTTTACTCTGTTAACTTGTACTAAATTTAAAATAGTTAACTTATTCTTAATTATGTAGTCGACAAAAAAACGTTCTCAGAATAGCTGAAGTAAGTTATAAACTTGATATTGCATTTGCTAATGAGAGCCTCTTAATGAGTTTGTGAATTTGATTATAGCGAGAAGTGCAAACGATTTCTCATGATGCTGCATGTTGTACTATATCTGCTAATGTGGAGAAGGTGGAGAAAAATGTTATCATGTGGACAAAAACTGTTATAAATGATGATAGTGATAACTCTCAAAATCCCTTTGTTATTTCGGAGGTTTGTGTTAATATTCTTTGTTAGTGTTTAGTGTTATAAATCCAAAAGTTATACACATCATTTATCCACAATAGGCCATGATATATCCTGACGCTTCTACAAATTCATCACTTGTTGATGATGCCGCTATCATCACTAGATAGTCAGAACATCATCAGGAAATTAATTTAGTGTAAACTTGCATAAATCTTACGATGCCGACGTAATATTGTGTAAATCTTACAGTGCCGACGTAAGTTTTACACTTTTTTATTATTAAACTTACAATTGACATGTGTAAAATTTTTTTATATTTTCTGGATGATTCTTAACAGTCTTCAGCCCCTTCTCAGTAGTTATAAAATGGATTGGGCATCATGGAGGTTCAACTTGATAATCAACAATGTGAACATAGAACACATACTTCTGGAAGTATATGAAAAATGTCTGAAGACAAAATCGAAAACTAAAACATCACTTGATTATGGCATCATTGATCTCAATGACAGTATTATTTTGAAAGCATTGGGAAACTCAGTAACATCATATTTTGAAGTAAAAATGAAAGATTATAAACCTAAGAAAGCAATTTCTGAAGAGGCTGCGAAAGCCTTGAAAAAATTTAATGTTGTAAGTAATTGAAGAATGAACTATAATAAATGATTGAATGTGATTATTTATAATTCACTTTTTAGACATCCATAAAAGATCTCAGAAAGGCACTCGCCGAAGTCAAAGTTGATTATAACAATTTAGATCATGATATTGTCTATCTGCATCGTCTCTTTCAAAAATTGTAAGTATTGGGTATAATTTTGTCACAAAAGTTGAAAAGTAATTTTTTCTAATATCGAATTTGTAAACAGCTATCTACTCTTCCAAGACAAATATATGCTAAACCTTGATAGCTCTGAACTACAGGAAGGGTGGTACAATAGCCACATTGTAGCTCCAATTTTTGATGATTGTCTTGAGTCAATAGATGAATGTATTCTCCGACGGTACTTGTTAAGAATGTGTTTTATGCTAATATTTTATTCCGATTTTAACTGATTATTGTGTTTATCATCTTAACCTCAGGGAAGTTTTCTTTTAAAAACTCCTTAGCAACCCGACTAGTGTGCTTCGGGTCATTATCCTGTTGAAATCTCCACCT